TTCGTGACCCCATGGACCAGAGCTCGCCAGGCCCTCCTGTCTTCCACCGCCTCCCGGAGTTGGGTCAAATTCATGTTGGTCGCTTCGGTAACCCTGTCCAGCCATCTCATCCTCTGTCATCCCCTTCTCCTCTTGCCTTCACACTTTCCCATCATCTGGATCTTTTCCAGGGAGTCTTCTGTTCTCATGAGATGGCCAAAGGATTGGAGCCTCAGCTTCAGGATCTGTCCTTCCACTGAGCACTCAGGGTTGATTTCCTTCAGAATGGATAGGTTTGTGCTCCTTGCAGTCCAGGGGACTCTCAAGAGTCTCCTCCAGCACCACAATTCAAAAGCATCCATTCTTCGATGGTCAGCCTTCTTTATGCTCCAGGTCTCACTTGCATACGTCACTACAGGAAAAACCATAGCTTTGACTATGCGGACTTTTGTCGGCAAGATGATGTCTCTGCTTTTTAAGATGCTATCTAGGTTTGTCATCTCTTTCCTCCCAAGAAGCAGGCGTATTTTAATTTCGTGGCTGCTGTCACCATCTGCGGTGATCATGGAGCCCAGAAAACTAAAATCTGTTACTGCCTCCATATCTTCCCCTTCTATTTGCCAGGAGGTGATGGGACATATCTTAGTTCTGTGGGTACACTTATGCAACTAAACCAGTGAACCTCTTTGTTGTTGAATTTTGTGCTCGAGAGTAATGTATGCTGCATACACCTTGGAAGGATAAAAGACTGAGTCAACCTTGAGCCAGCTCCCTGGCATTTTAGTGTCATGCCACAAGCGGGTCTACGTGACGTGGCAGTTTCTCCGGCAAAAGTATAATTGTTGTTTTGCTGCCTCAGCATGAATCGCCCCGAGGTAGGATTCTTCTACCGACAGCCACGTTATGCGGGAGCAGAGGTGATTTCTTAGAGACCTGCCAACTCTCTGGCAATCATTCCAGGATTTCTGCTATAATTCTTATGAGCCTATGTTTAATCACAAAGCCTGCCGCCAAAGAATTGGGTCACCAGATTAGTTTATTAGGAAGCTTCCATTGTCAGCATATCAGTTAGAGAGAAATAACGTTATAGAGGCAGAGGCATAAAATGGAATTATTAAGGAAGTCTTCCCAAATCCTACTGGGGCAGCCCCATCATTTAGAGTCTGTTGTAACCTGGTTTTCTCCACCACCCTCGGGGGGAGGGGGGAGGAATTAAGTCACTGGGGAGATAGGTAGCAAATATTTGAACACAAGGATCCTGTGAATCAGAGAGGCAAAGGGAAGAGGAGTAGACAGTCGTCTCTGTTGAAAGAGACCTGAGACACTAATTAACTGAGCAACTTGTAAGAAACCTGTTGGTGAATGTAGTCAGATCAAGAGGAAACATGTACAGTAAGACCCCCCATATGGTCTGGTAATTGATTCCAAGACCCCGTGGATACTGAAAACCGTGACTGAATGCAGCATGGTAAATTGTGGGGGGAGAAAACATTTAGTTTACAGTACATGCATTAACAGAACTGGCAACTAGATGGCACCAGAGACCATGATATGTATTCTTTATTAACAAGTATTCATAGCACAATAGGGACGTGGTGGCGCTGTGGGCTAAACCACAGAAGCCTGTGCTGCAGGGTCAGAAGACCAGCAGTCGTAAGATCGAATCCATGCAACGGAGTGAGCTCCCGTCGTTTGTCCCAGCTCCCGCCAACCTAGTGGTTCGAAAGCATGCAAATGCAAGTAGATAAATAGGGACCACCTCGGTGGGAAGGTAACAGCGTTCCGTGTCTAAGTCGCACTGGCCACGTGACCATGGAAGCTTGTCTATGGACACAACGCTGGCTCTGTGGCTTGGAAACGGGGATGAGCACCGCCCCCTAGAGTCGAACACAACTGGACGAAAATTGTCAAGGGGAACTTTTACCTTTACCTTTTTTATTCATAGCACGGTCTCTGTCTCCCTCTATTGGTCGGTTCTGGTAATATGTGAAAATAGGTTTTTCTGGATTTTTTTAAAAAAAATTTATATGCATGTGAAAATAGGTTTTTCTGGATTTTTTTTTTAAAATTATATGTTCAGACCATGGATAAGTGAAACAGCGGATATAGATCCCATGGAGACATGGGGTCTACTGTAGAAGGAAACAGGAATGGCCAACATCATCTTCTAAAGCTGCGTAGTCTTGATCCGCATGGGAATATAGGTTCATGCTCATGAAACTGTTGCCTGAGTCTGACTAGCCCTCAACGCATGAATCTTCCTATCTGTCCCCTTATCTTTATAACCAGTATGCTGGGTGGCGTGCTGATGGCCCTGATAGAGCATGACTCTTTTGGATTGCAGAGAAGGCAGAGAGCTCTGAGTCAATAAGGAAAACTGTTTTATGCCTGAAAGAAAGGAAGGAAGGGGTTAAAGCAGTGGTTCCCAACCTTGGGTCCCCTGATGTTCTTGGACTAAATCTCCCAGAAGCCTTCAGCGATGAGCTGTGCTAGCCAAGATTTCTGGGAATTGTAGTCCAATCTAGGGACCCAAGGTTGGCAACCTCTGGTTTAACGTATGGATCAGGAATATGGATTGGATTATTTGTGCACAATGAGGCAATATTACAGGGACTCTTTTGATCAAGTATGTAAATCAGTTTTATCATCCTGTTCTCTTCTACTCTCTTGTCACCAGGAGCACCTTCCCCTTCAAAAATGTTTTTTTCCCCCCGCCCCAGGGCTTGCTTAGATGACCTTGGTATCCCTGTTCCAAACTATATGTCTGCCTTCAGATTACTGTTATCTGCAAAGGGATTTTTGAAGTAATCCCCAGTTGCCCCAAACGATGTAGCGGCTAGAGGTCATTTGAGAGAAGCAGTCTGAAGTCTTTCTGGTGGGGTGCCTGGTACGGGAATGGTTTGAGGACTGACTATGTGTACATAAATGCACACAGAGTCCTTCTGTTTTAGACTGCTTCTGCACCCTAGTGTCACTGCATCAATTGTCTAGTCACTGTTTCTAAAGTCACTTTTTTTGCTTCTGAAAAGGGGCTGTGTTTTTTTTTATTTAGCTCCCTTTTCCATCCGTTAAGGGCACCTCAGTACACTGGAACAGTTGGAACCCCAGCAGCTTCTGTGTTTTTAGGCTGCAAAGTGGCCATGCCTGGAGGATTCTGGGAGTTGCAGTCCAGAAACACCCATCTCCACAGCCTCTGCACCCAGGATAACCTGAATGTCTGGACAGGGTTTTGTAAGGTTGGCTAGTTTTTTCCAGGTCCGTGACCCTCTCCCCTGACGTCCACAGAGGACTACGTTCCTGCCTCACCACTTAAATGGAACGACAGATGGACCGTCGCCCGGGAACTCCGATGGCCTCGGATGCAGAGTCTGTCCCTTCAGTGGGGAGGAACATAGTTAGGGTTATGGATGCTTTTCAGATGCATGTTGGAGCAGAAGAAAACTTAGAACTTAATCCAGCCAGCTTACATTGCATCCTGGAGGGTGGGTGCCCCTGGAGGTTTCAAGCTGCTTGCTTGAAATGGAAGAGAGGTATCTAGTTAGTCCTTAGGGTCAGCCTAGACGCTGCATATGCAGATGTAGTTGACATTTTCTCCTGTTTATTTTTTTTTAAAAAAGCCATAGAATGCCATTTAGAGCCAGCCTCAGGAGGTTCTCCATGAGGAATGGGGTGGCCGGCTTACCCTTTTCCTCATCTATCATCTTGCATCCGAAAGCCACTTCCTCCAGACTCTTTTCTCTCTGTGTGGGAAAAAGCAGACAGAATCCCCCTAGGAGAAGAACAGGCTAGGAGGTAAATCTTGAGTGTAGGAGCAGCTGGTGGAAAAGGTTTAAACATCCCAAAGTTAAAAAAAATTAAAAAGCAAAGTTTGTGCCTGAGATCACAACCTCCTGCCTTAGAAAATGTGTGACACTACATGCATATGTGTATTGTGCAGAGTTCAGTGCATAGCTGTCAAGAAAGTGTCTTGAACGAACACTTCCTTCATTGTGATGGCACTACTGTATACTGTAAAGTTCCAACTGCATGTGTTACGATGGATGCAGACTCCAAGTATCTCTCTGGTCCAGAAAGAGCTGAGTGCCAATATCATAATGGGCAGTTGCGAGAAAAATAAAATATTTTTAAGAGAATGAAAACATAGATCACATTTAATCTACTGCTGCATTGGGCCAACTGGAGTACTTGGCTTAAACATGCTAGTCAAATGTGCTTTCTTACTGGGCTTGGAAGTACAGTTGACAGGCTGGTCAAAGGGCAGTTCATTTCCCCGCTGAACAGCTGATCCACCCCTTCCATCAGGCAGTCGCTTGGAGGTCGCACCCGGAGGGAGTGGAACAGACAGGGTGCTCCTGCTGCTGAGTGGCACTGGCTGGAGGGGAGATGGGGCACCAAACCACAGACCAGCTGTTTGGCCGGGAAATGGACTGCGCTGCCAAACCAGCTTGTCTCTACTAGCGCTTATAGGGTCAGTGAAGCAGGTCTCCTGTTTTAGCTGTGGTCACACTATTTAGCAAGTCAGAAATACGGTTTTGTAGATGCCATCAACGCAGCTTCAGGGTTTTCCTTTGTTTAAAAAAAATAATTGTGTTGATCCCCGTAGTTGTGGGTGGGTATCTGTGAGTCTTCATGCTGTGTTGCTAATGTTTAAGCCTCATCCTGTTTTCAATGAGGTCTTGACATTGGTTTTCATCAAATATGACTTGTCTTTTAGGTTTTGAGGTACCTTAAAGACTGCCGTTTCCTGCCAAGGTGTAAGAGACTGGAGAGGAAGCGGTCGTGATATTTCTACGTTGCAGTCATTTCCTCATTATAATTGGTCATCCTGAGATTTGGAAGCCACGGGTTAATCATTTCCAGGCGTCGCTGTGTTAGCCTCACATGGCAAGAACAGCAGGATCTTGGGTCCCACTGAAAGATTAACACATTTTTATTGGTGGAATGCATTCTGTTTTTTTCAAGTGTGAACAGAGAGGTTATTTCCCCAGGAACCTAATGTGTGTATCTGTCTCCTCCTCCAGGAATTGATAGTCGATACAACGAAGGCTGCCGCGAGCTGGCCAATTACCTTCTCTTTGGCTTGTATAACCAGAGCAACAATGACTTTGAGAAATCAGGATATCCAGAAGAAGTCCTTGATGGTAAGGCAGAAGCATTGCTGTGCCCTCTCGGAAGCCAAGGGTGCTGCTGTGCTCCTTCTACCTTGGATAAGGCCTCCTCCCAACTCTCAGGGCGTGCTCCATGTAAAAAGGAAGCAAAGTGGTGTCCGGCTCACGGTTTCCCCACTTGGATTGAGTAGGTATCCACAATTCTGATTGGTAGAAACAGCCACCCGTATTTTGTGGTGGGCAAGAGAAGAGAATCTGTGAGCGTCACACTTTTGTTTTCCTTGGAGCCTCTGGCCCTGAGTGGCTTGCCAAAACACAGCAGAGAACACGTTTCTGTTCCCTTTGGCTGACTCTCGATAATTCATACAAAAGGCCAGACTTGGCTTGCAGACCGTCCATAAATGGTCCAGCTGCTCAACCTGTGAGCTGTTTCGATGACCTTGGACAAAGTCTCCCCTACATCAGCTGTCTTGTTTCCTCCATCTGTGGTTCGATCATGGTTGTGTGAATGTCATCTGGGATTCTTCAGTTGATGCTGTTTCATGGCTGTCACTTTGTCTTAGATCTATTTCAGAAAACAATTGTAGGAAAGTGCATTTTATCTCTTGCCCTTCTTGATACCCAAGGGAGGAGGTGTCCTGCAAGGGCTTTAGGAGGTGGTGCTTCCTTTGTTCCTTTTTCATTTTTTTTGTATTTTTTTGTTTGAAAATGCCAGGCAGGCTCTGTCTGACACATTACTTACCAAAACTATTCTAGACCCATTTTCAGCACAAGAGTTGGGAGAAAGTTTTAAGTAAATCAAAGGACTGTTATGTTATTATGCTATGCATTACAAGGACAAGCAAGTTATTATTTCGAAACTTAACGACACCTACTTGTTTCTGATTTAGTTACCTTTCTCTAAATCTTGACTTCTGTTCTCCTACAGACGTGATCCTACTGATAAAGCCGGACAGCGTCCATGTCTACTGCAACCCTGTGAACTATAACTACCTTTTGCCATACGTTGCATTTTGGAGGAACCTGCACTTCCATTGCCTGACTGAAAATGAGGTGAGCCAACGAGCAGTAAACGTGGAAGACAATTAAAAAAAAAACAATTGAAACCTTCCTACATGTAGGAGTTGTGGCTGTTTGAGCTTCCTGGGACAGATCTTGGGTTGATGGTCTCTTGTCTCTGGATGACCCTTGGGATGACCCGACCGTAGCCATCCTACTGTCTCCAGGACCGAATTAAACACACGGAAGGGAAGAGAACAATGAGCTTCCTGACTCTCCGTTTGACCCTGTGTCTGTTTACTAGGAAGCTGCCCACTCATTCACTGTAGTTTGTTCCTGAGTTAGCCTGTGCTTGTTGTTACGTTAGGGTGATAATAATTAGAGCAAGGCACACCGAGGCTCTTGCCTGTGGTTGGTTTACCGTTCTTGGCATTTTGGATTCTTTTGTGAGGAGAGAAAAAAAAAGGATACTAATTTTTGTCTTGTCTAATGATTAGGCTGCAGTTCTTAGACAAATCTATAGCGATGGCTGCCGAAGAAACGGCTGCACTGGTTTTGTATGGGATCTTTCTGTTGCGTGGTTGCCGGATCAGAATTCCCTGGTTGGTGCATTAGGAACTCCCTCGCTTGAAAGAGCCTGGCCTGCCAAAATACCGTATTTTTTGCTCCATAAGACGCACCTTTCCATAAGACGCACCAATTTTTTAGAAGAAAACAGGAAAATATAATCTGTTTTCTTCGCTCCATAAGATGCACAGACTTTCCACCCCCCTGTTTTATGAGAAAAAAGTGTGTCTTATGATGCGAAAAATACGGTAACTGCCAAAATGCTCCCCCACTTGCAGTCTGAACATGATGGATTAGAGAAAGACTAATGGATCTGTTCGATGAAAGCAGCTGTGTAGGTGTCTCCATTATCTTAAGTGTTACCTCCCTGTATTTGCATATCTTCTGCCACAGTCTGGATTATCCGGCTCTTGACTAGAGACTCCCTTGAAACCACGCAGAGCATATTCCTGGGCAGTCTAGCAGTGGCAGAACCCCTGCTCTGTGTCTCTGTTCTTGGGAAGCCATGAGAAAAAAAGGGGGGAGTGGCATAATTCAACATGAATCTTCTTGCTGTTTTGAAGTTGGGTTGGT